GCAATTCTTTTTCTCAATATATTTACATGGATGCTGTTTCATGCTAACTTTTTTTGTATAATTATTGTCTATTTGACGCTCGAGATCATGTGCCAAGGCGTAGACCTTCATCTTTATTTTCAGAAATCTTGAAGGACTATTGCACTATATCTGTGATGGCACTGGACCTCTGCTTGACCACGTGCCAGCGCCTGGCAGCAGTACTCTGCTCCGTACCATCAGTAGATACAGAAATGATGTATGTAATTAAGTGATCTACACAGCCTGCACTTAACTCTCATTGGCATTCATCACAAAAATTACATGTATCAAAATCCTTCACATCTGTAGCAGCCTCCTTAGACAACCTGCCAACATCCACACAATATTTCATAAGTAACATTATGTAATACAACTATAAAACTATTACATGGGGAACATCCACACAACATTTCATAAGTCATATAATGTAATACAACTACAAAACTCTCACAAGTGGAACATCCACACAACATTACGTAAGATATACTACAAAACTCCCAACAATTGAAACAGCCACACAAAATTACATAAGTATGAAAGTATGAATTTTATGTAAATTTAAACAAATGTACAATGCAAACTTCTTCATTCTCAATTCAGTTAACACACACTTTTTAATCAATTTGTTTTAGTATGGCGATACAGAATCATCCACTTTCCACAATGTGTGGGTATCAATACACTGTCAGTAAATGTCCCTCCAAAACTGTATAGTATACAGAGTAGTCTAGAATGCACCTTTTCTTACCATACTGATCAAAAGCATCAGCAATGCATTTAAGCATATTGACAAATCTTTCTGATTAGAACTGCAGCTGATATTGCAAATAAACAATTTTATTTTAAAGATGAGGTAAAACTGCCCTAGGATAGTATCAGAGTGAGCACCACAATTTCTTCATGTTCTATAAAACGATACAAAATGTAGAAAAAAGAAAAAAAAGCTGAAGTACCTTTTTAACCTTTGGAAAGTTAAAAGTTATGCATGTGAATCAAAGCAGAAAATTGCAGCAGTATTGTTGTAGTCATTCCTCGCCATTACCCACAGCCCACTATACATACAAGGTAAACATAACTCTCCATTAACATATATGGTGAGGGTTAAATACACATCTGCATCCATTCACCAAACTGAAAACTGTCGACCACAGTGTGCTAAGTTTAAAATTGTCATATAAAATGCACCTGTGAGCAAAACTTTCACCGAAGTTGTTTCTTTCTTGATTTATGAGCCAACCACAATCTAGGGATGAGACCATGTGTCCCTAAGGCTAATTAAATCATCTCATACTGACATCAGGATGTGAACTGGCTACCTCTTTCCATCAGTCTCATAGGTTTGCTTATTCCATCAGTCCCCTAGTCTTACTATCAGTCCCTTACTTTTTGCTTATTCCATCAATACCCAAAGTAAACTTATTCAACCAGTCATCTATGCTTACTTATTCCATCAGTCCCCTAGGTTTACTTATTCCCTCAATCCCCTAGGTTTGTTTATCCCATCAATGCCCTATGTAAACTTATTCAATCAGACCCTTAGGTTTACTTATTCCATCAGACCCTTAGTTTTACTTATCCAATCAATGCCCTATGTTTATTTATTCCATCAATTCCCTAGACTTACTTATTCCATCAGTCCCTTAGGTTTACTTCTTTCATCAATACCCTAGGTTAACTTATTTCATCAGTCCCCTTGGCTTACTTATTCCATCAATCCCCTAGGTTTACTTATTCCATCAGACCCTTAGGTTTACTTATTCCATCAGACCCATAGTTTTACTTATCCAATCAATACCCTAGGTTAACTTATTTCATCAGTCCCCTTGGCTTACTTATTCCATCAATCCCCTAGGTTTACTTATTCCATCAGTCACATAGGTTAACTTATTCCATCAGTCCCCTTGGCTTTCTTATTCCATCAATCCCCTAGGTTAACTTATTCCATCAGTCACATAGGTTAACTTATTCCATTAGTCCCATAGGCTTACTTATTCCATCAATCCCCTTGGCTTTCTTATTCCATCAGTCCCTGAGGTTTACTTATTCCATCAATCCCCTATACTTACTTATTCCACCAATGCCCTAGGCTTTCTTATTCCATCAGTCCCCTAGGTTAACTTATTCCATCAATACCCTATACTTACTTATTCCACCAATGCCCTAGGCTTACTTATTCCATCAGTCCCCTAGGTTAACTTATTTCATCAGTTCCCTGTGCTTACTTATTCCATCAGTCATCAAGGTTAACTTATTCCATCAGTCCCATAGGCTTACTTATTCCATCAATCCCCTAGGTTTACTTATTCCATCAGTCATCTAGGTTAACTTATTCCATCAATCCTCTAGGTTTACTTATTCCATCAGTCATCTAGGTTTACTTATTCCATCAGTCCTCTAGGTTTACTTATTCCATCAGTCCCCTAGGTTAACTTATTCCATCAGTCATCTAGGTTAACTTATTCCATCAGTCCTCTAGGTTTACTTATTCCATCAGTCCCTGAGGTTTACTTATTCCATCAGTCATCTAGGTTAACTTATTCCATCAATCCTCTAGGTTTACTTATTCCATCAGTCCCCTAGGTTAACTTATTCCATCAGTTCCCTGTGCTTACTTATTCCATCAGTCATCTAGGTTTACTTATTCCATCAGTCCCTGAGGTTTACTTATTCCATCAGTCCCTGAGGTTTACTTATTCCATCAGTCATCTAGGTTTACTTATTCCATCAGTCCTCTAGGTTTACTTATTCCATCAGTCCCCTAGGTTTACTTATTCCATCAGTCCCTGAGGTTTACTTATTCCATCAGTCATCTAGGTTTACTTATTCCATCAGTCCTCTAGGTTTACTTATTCCATCAGTCCCCTAGGTTTACTTATTCCATCAGTCCCTGAGGTTTACTTATTCCATCAGTCATCTAGGTTTACTTATTCCATCAGTCCTCTAGGTTTACTTATTCCATCAGTCCCCTAGGTTAACTTATTCCATCAGTTCCCTGTGCTTACTTATTCCATCAGTCATCTAGGTTTACTTATTCCATCAGTCCCTGAGGTTTACTTATTCCATCAGTCCCTGAGGTTTACTTATTCCATCAGTCATCTAGGTTTACTTATTCCATCAGTCCTCTAGGTTTACTTATTCCATCAGTCCCCTAGGTTTACTTATTCCATCAGTCCCTGAGGTTTACTTATTCCATCAGTCATCTAGGTTTACTTATTCCATCAGTCCTCTAGGTTTACTTATTCCATCAGTCCCCTAGGTTTACTTATTCCATCAGTCCCTGAGGTTTACTTATTCCATCAGTCATCTAGGTTTACTTATTCCATCAGTCCTCTAGGTTTACTTATTCCATCAGTCCCCTAGGTTTACTTATTCCATCAGTCCCTGAGGTTTACTTATTCCATCAGTCATCTAGGTTTACTTATTCCATCAGTCCTCTAGGTTTACTTATTCCATCAGTCCCCTAGGTTTACTTATTCCATCAGTCCCTGAGGTTTACTTATTCCATCAGTCATCTAGGTTTACTTATTCCATCAGTCCTCTAGGTTTACTTATTCCATCAGTCCCTGAGGTTTACTTATTCCATCAGTCATCTAGGTTTACTTATTCCATCAGTCCTCTAGGTTTACTTATTCCATCAGTCCCATAGGTTTACTTATTCCATCAGTCCCTGAGGTTTACTTATTCCATCAGTCATCTAGGTTTACTTATTCCATCAGTCCTCTAGGTTTACTTATTCCATCAGTCCCTGAGGTTTACTTATTCCATCAGTCATCTAGGTTTACTTATTCCATCAGTCCTCTAGGTTTACTTATTCCATCAGTCCCTGAGGTTTACTTATTCCATCAGTCATCTAGGTTTACTTATTCCATCAGTCCTCTAGGTTTACTTATTCCATCAGTCCCTGAGGTTTACTTATTCCATCAGTCCTCTAGGTTTACTTATTCCATCAGTCCCTGAGGTTTACTTATTCCATCAGTCCTCTAGGTTTACTTATTCCATCAGTCCCTGAGGTTTACTTATTCCATCAGTCCCCTATACTTACTTATTCCACCAATGCCTTAGGCTTACTTATTCCATCAATCTCCTAGGCTTACTTATTCCATCAGTCATCTAGGTTAACTTATTCCATCAGTCCCCTAGGTTAACTTATTCCATCAGTCCCCTGTGCTTACTTATTCCATCAATCTCCTATGCTTACTTATTCCATAGTCATCTAGGTTAACTTATTCCATCAGTCCCCTGTGCTTACTTATTCCATCAGTCCCCTATGTTTACTTATTGGATTATATATAATTATATATATAAAGTGTTGGTATGTCTTACTTTAACTCTTCCCTCCAATCAGATTATTTCCTTTTATGGCACACACAGTAGCCTGTATACCTATAAGTACTGAGTTGTCTCCCCTTGCCTCGAAAAGTTGTTGGGTTGTGCTTGGCTCAATACTCTTACTCTTACACTGACATGTGTGACCAGCTCTCAACAATTTTTTGGGAATGGGCAGTAAGGCTCAATAAAAAAAATATACATAATTTCTTAATCAGAACCACACTTGTTTTTCAACCTGGTACACAGAATCCACCATGTGCTTTATATTTGATCATATATTTTCACAAAACTATTTAATTGTACTGTTTCTGCTGAATTTTTCCTTCAAGATAAATATAACCTAAATCATGCAATCTTTATATTATTTACAGCAAATTAATGAGAACAATATAAGCCTTACATTGGGATTACAGATAAAATAAACATCAGTTCAGCTGGGCTTCTTCAGTTTCTCTACAAATTCTCCTGCTATTGTCGACCATTCCGATATTGAAGATTTGCAACTAATAGTTTTCTAACAGGAAAAAAACATAATTTAATCCTTGCAAATAATTGTCTTAATAATAAAACTTCAACTTTTCAAAAGGAAGTTGGATCTGTTCCTGATTGGTGAAAATGTACCTGTCTAGCCCCGCCCCCCAGTTACTTACAGTTTCCATGAGCAATTCGGCGGCTTTTCCATCCTGTATCCCTGTCTTAGGAGGCGGAGCAGGTCATGCATGTCCACAGTGGGGTAAGGCGTGCCTCCCAAGGTCACCACCTCGAACAGAACCACGCCAAAAGACCAGCTGTGGATGACACCAACACAACACATTAGAGCCCCTCTAACAACTCCTGTCAGACTGTCATAACTATATTCTCATCCTAATTCAATTGAATGCGAGCTTGATCAAAACATGCAGAATTTATTTTTATTTACCATTTTCAGAAGAAAAAAATCATAAAATCATACATTTTTAAATTTTCAACCTTAAACACATTTGATTTTAATAAATGTCTAATTTCTTTGCTTTTTATGGCAAATAAAATGTGTTTCACTTCTTCAACTCTTTCGCAGTCACCGTTCAAAAGTCTGTTAATATAAAAACATAATAATGAACCTTCCTGTTTTAACTAACAGTGGTGTGTCTCCAGGAAACACCTCCATTTTACCCAGGCTCTAGTGTTTGATCCTGTATGATTCTGACTGAATCAAATCGATCTAACCCACTTCTGATACAGTCACATACATTTATATTTACATGATATTGTTTAAAATATTTCTCGAATAATGTTGATATTGAGTCAAATTTAATGACAAATGTTTCAAAATGCTATATAATCAGTCCATATTTTCAATGCAAACAGAACCAACTACGGTCTGATAGAAGTTTGTAATCTAAGATGACAACAGATTAATGACTGACTGAATATTTATTTTATTAATATATGTCACCTGTTCTTTATTACATTGCAGTATCATTAAAACACTTCAGTATATAATTAACAGCATCGTCTAGCCAATTTTGTCTTATGACAGACACTATTGCAACACATGTACATATTTACTAGATTAAAGCTAGGTTTAAACAATGACAGTGGCCGGTAAACAATCTGAGCATGCTTGATTTACTCAGCATACTCCACTGAAGTCAACTTTAATACATTTTTTTCTGGATTCCTGACAACTAAAGTACACTTATGCAGGAGGTCAATAAATCTACCAAATATAACAGTACATTATCCAAACATAGAAGTTTAAATCAAGGAGCACGCTGCTGTTGACATTCGCCAAAAACATCCTGAGTCCTGGTAAAAATTGGGAAAGACGGCAGCTTGTAGCCAGCTGTTAACCCACTGATCTCTCACCAAAATAGTAAATAGAGCAGGTTTTTATGGATCATAAAAAACGAAGAGATTTTGATTAATTTATTAAATCTGGAGTGGTGTCTAGACATGTTTCAGCGTAAGTTGTGTAATCAGCTGATAGCCCTGTGTATGGAAAAAAAGTCTTTACCATAGGTACTATAAGCCTGCCCTGTCAACATCAGAGTACCACCGTCAACATCAAATCTCAACAAGTCTATCCTGTGAACATCAGAGTACCACCGTCAACATCAGATCTCAACAAGTCTACACTGTCAACATCAGAGTACCACCGTCAACATCAGATCTCAACAAGTCTACACTGTCAACATCGGGGTACCACCGTCAACCTCAGATCTCAACAAGTCTACCCTGTCAACATCAGATCTCAACAAGTCTACCCTGGCAACATCAGAGTACCACCGTCAACATCAAATCTCAACAAGTCTACACTGTCAACATCAGGGTACCACCGTCAACCTCAGATCTCAACAAGTCTACCCTGTCAACATCAGAGTACCACCGTAAACATCAACTCTCAACAAGTCTACACTGTCAACATCAGGGTACCACCGTCAACCTCAGATCTCAACAAGTCTACCCTGTCAACATCAGATCTCAACAAGTCTAACTCAAGTCTACCCTGTCAACATCAGATATCAACAAGTCTATCAAGTCAACATCAGATCTCAACAAGTCTACCCTGTCAACATCAGATCTCAACAAGTCTACCCTGTCAACATTAGATCTCAACAAGTCTAACTCAAGTCTATCCTGTCAACATCAGATCTCAACAAGTCTATCAAGTCAACATCAGATCTCAACAAGTCTACCCTGTCAACATCAGATCTCAACAAGTCTAACTCAAGTCTACCCTGTCAACATTAGATCTCAACAAGTTTAACTCAAGTCTACCCTGTCAACATTAGATTTTCTGCCGTACCAACACCTCATATGCACTACATGTCTACCTTGTCAACATCAGATGTATTATAAGTCAACATCAGTTGTACTATATTAAAGTCAACATCAGTTGTACTATAAGTCAACATCAAATCTTAACAAGTCTACCCTGTCAACATTAGATGTCCTTTCTTTGTAATACATGTCTACCTTGTCACCCTCATAAGTCTACCCTGTCATCATCCAATGTACCAAAAACCCACATAGTGGACATTATTACCGATCAACATACGAACTCAACAAACCTACCTGACAACATTCTAGACAGATAACAACTGCAATAGGCTGATTTTTAAGAAACAAAGCAATATTATTATTAATATAAAGCGATAAGGTACATTCAAGTAACATAAAGATAAAATATAAATTCCACAGGGGAGCTGGCAGGGTTCTAATTTAGAGGTCACACTGAACTTCACTTGCTGTACTTCGTGCCAAAAAATGTGTAGTCTTGTAATTAGTATTGTAATCAAAACTATCATATGAGCACTCAAAACTAACATTATGATACAATTATTGTCTGTGCTACTGAAATAGAATTGTTATCTTACAGTAGGAATAGCCTTTGATGTATCTAATTCAATAACAAGCAAATTAGATACGATTTGACTCAGGATGGTGGGTATCCTGTACCCCAAGGTGAAGCTGGTAACATGCTTGCTTGTATCTACTATAAAGTAACACAAGGACATTGCCATTTATACCTAAATTTGTAAAACTAGTGAAATCCCATTTAATAGTTATCAATTATGCAATTTTTCAACTTTAATAGCATAATATTTGGCTTTCAGTTCTGATGACTTCACACTTAACAAGACAGAGCATCATTTGCAACAGGTTGCTCAAAGCAATTCTGTAGTTTGCTGTTTAATTACTAACTAAAAGATATGAGTCCCTCACAAGGTAAATCTTGACTGGAAGCAATATGAGCCCTTCACAAGGTAAATCTTGACTGGAAGCAATATGGGTCCCTCACAAGGTAAATCTTGACTGGAAGTAATATGAGTCACCTATTGGTATATCTTACTGGAAGCAATGAGTCCCTCACAAGGTAAATCTTGACTAGAAGCAATATAAGTCACCTATAGGTATAACTTACTGGAAACAATATGAGTCACATATAGGTATATCTTACTGGGAGCAATATGAGTCACTCACAAGGTAAATCTTGACTGGAAGCAATATGAGTCCCTCACAAGGTAAACCTGGACTGGAAGCAATATGAGTCACCTATAGGTATATCTTACTGGAAACAATATGAGTCACCTATAGGTATATCTTACTGGAAACGATATGAGTCACATATAGGTATATCTTACTGGGAGCAATATGAGCCACTCACAAGGTAAATCTTGACTGGAAGCAATACGAGTCAGTCACAAGGTACATTTTAAATCTTGACTAGAAGCAATATGAGTCACCTATAGTTATATCTTACTGGAAACAATATGAGTCACATATAGGTATATCTTACACGGAGCAATATGAGTCCCTCACAAGGTAAATCTTGACTGGAAGCAATATGAGTCACTCACAAGGTAAATTTTTTATCTTACTAGAAGCAATATGAGTCACATACAGGTAAATCTTGACTGGAAACAATAGGAGTCACCTATAGGTATATCTTACTGGAAACAATGAGTCACCTATAGGTATATCTTACTGGAAACAATGAGTCACATACAGGTATATCTTACTGGAAATAATATGAGACACCTATAGGTATATCTTACTGGAAACAATATGAGTCACATATAGGTATATTTTACTGGGAGCAATACGAGTCACTCACAAGGTAAATCTTGACTGGAAGCAATATGAGTCACTCACAAGGTATATATTTTATCTTACTAGAAGCAATATGAGTCACATACAGGTAAATTTTGACTGGAAATAATATGAGTCCCCTATAGGTATATCTTACTGGAAACAATGAGTCACCTACAGGTATATCTAACTGGAAACAATGAGTCAGCTACAGGTATATCTTACTGGAAACAATGAGTCACCTACAGGTATATCTTACTGGAAACAATGAGTCANATATAAGGGCTTTGCCACACCAAATGTAAATATATAGGTATATCTTACTGGAAACAATGAGTCAGCTATAGGTATAGCTTACTGGAAACAATGAGTCACCTACAGGTATATCTTACTGGAAAAAATGATTCACCTACAGGCATATCTTACTGGAAACATTGAGTCACCTACAGGTATAACATATAGGTATATCTTACTCGAAACAATGATTCACCTACAGGTATATCGTACTGGAAACAATGAGTCCCCTACAGGTATATCTTACTCGAAACAATGATTCACCTACAGGCATATCTTACTGGAAACAATGATTCACCTACAGGTATATCTTACTGGAAACAATGAGTCACCTATACGTATATCTTACTGGAAACAATGAGTCACCTACAGGTATATCTTACTGGAAACAATGAGTCACCTATAGGTATATCTTACTGGAAACAATGAGTCACCTACAGGTATATCTTACTGGAAACAATGAGTCACCTATAGGTATATCTTACTGGAAACAATGAGTCACCTACAGGTATATCTTACTGGAAACAATATGAGAATCCTACAAGGTATATCCATATGTTTACTGAAAATAAAATAGAAGAGGACAAGAGCTAACGGCCAGGTGGGGAAACTATAAAAAGTACAGAACAAATAATGTGAAAAACAAGCCCAGATAGCAACACATATTTCAGGAGAGTTTTATTTCTTACAACAGTTTCTCTGACTTTTATAAGGTAACGGTGCATTAAATTTGATTTAAGGCAGGAGAGTCCCCTTTTTGTAGTGATTAGAAGGAAATCAGTGCAGCAGTTTGGACTGGAAAATATGTGCTCAGACAGCCTGAATGGATTGCCATCCCAGAGAACACTAAAATCTATTTTGGTTGTGATTTATACAGGTAAGATAGTGAACGGTCGGATGGAGCCATCCTGATGTACAC